GGAAAGAGGTTGGTGGGATGCCACTGTGTTTGATTTATTACATGAGCAATATCTTAGCAAACAGAAAATATAAGATGTTCTTATTTTATATTCTAGCTTGTCAATATTGGTAATTTGAGTTTCTAATTTGTACGAAATGTTCAACATAGTATTTTGACTTCACAAACATCTAATATGAACCACTGCTGCATTCAACATACCATGTGTCACACAAAAATCGATGTTTTTTAATATTTACTTTTAAATTGAGTAATGTGTAGTTCTAAAATATAAATTATAATCTACAATTTGATACCAAACTTATTGACATAAGTTCCTGAAATAGCAGTTCAATAAAATTTTGAATGTGAGTCAACAAATGAGATGACATGGTCTTTCATCCATTACCCATTTCGAAAGATTAAAAGAATATAATCATAATTTTTTATATTTTTTTCACAATTTAATTTGTTTTTCTAGGTTTGGATGTCATAGCTCAAGCACAATCAGGAACTGGAAAAACAGCAACTTTTGCTGTTGCTATACTTCAACAAATCGACATTACTTTACAAGAATGTCAAGCTTTGATCCTTGCGCCTACTCGAGAACTGGCCCAGCAGGTAAGTTTGCAGACCACTGGACCATTACAGGATTATCAGACTTTGATATTTTTTCGCACAAACTAATCCTTTGTGAAGTGAAATTTATGTACCAAATAATAAAAATAAAAAGCAAATCCTAAAAAAACGGATGCATTCAGGAATCATGTTGTAAACTTTTCAATAAAAGCACCTTGCTATAGTTATATGGCCAACTAGTAGTTGGATAATGTGACACTAACAATTTAGATTGTCAACTGGAAGAAATGTAATACATCTGTATGAGTGAGACTAGACAAGAACCTATTTCTGAATGTCTAATTATCTAGTTTTTTTCACTATCGTAACATTATTTCAAAACACATTTTTGGTTTTCTCTTAACTGTGCTTTCTTATTTTATCTTCTATTTGTATGAAAACAATATGTAAGCTTTTAATCAGATTAAATAGTAAATTTTTTGTTGCTAAAAATTCTGATACTGTACCTTACCTCCTTTCACATAACAGCTTTTCTTGTTCACTGCTGCCCTCTATATGCAAAAATGCATTTGCACATCTCTTCCTACCATCGTTTGGATGTCGGGTTTCTGGATGATGGGTGTTGGTTGTGGATTTGTACACTTGTGCTCTGTTTAGTTGACCAGTATGGAAATTTTCTCATTCCAACCTCCACAATTGAGGTGAAGACAGTGTGGATCCACTTCCTACCATAGGTCAGATTATGTATGCTCAATGCCGCCAGGTTTTGGACTGGAGTTGACTTGCCGAATATGGTCTGTCATGTCCTAGCCACTCTACACCAAGGGACATATCCATGTTAGCTTTCCCCTCTATCTAATTTCTGGCTGGTGACCCAACATTCATTCTTATCCTGGACTATGATTCTGGTGATTTCAGTGGGATGTTGGGTTGGATTCACCTAGTTTTTTGTTGTTGTTTTTTTTTCTCTCGTTGGATGTGCTCCTCTCAATTTCCACCGATTTATGGGACACTTACTACCACACTGGGCAAAGAGTATATTTGGTACAGTAGTGGTGCGGTCTTCCATGTGTGTTCCTTCCTAGTGAGGGTTCACATTCCATGGGTGTCCTTGAAATGCTATCAAAGGATGCTAATCTATATCCCTCACACTAGTTACTATGTGAGAAGAGGTAAGGTACTGTATCAGAAGTTATTTTTTTCCTACACTGAAAATATATTTTTCATAGGTACTTCCCTTTCCTCACACTTTCCACCCTCCATCCCCACTAAAAACTGGTGCATACTTTCTGCTTAAACTCAAAGTGATGGTTAGGTAGTATCAAATAGAGGGAGTCATAAGTGTCAAGAGGGTGTGTCACACTCTTATTGGTGTGTGTGTGGGTGGGGGGGGTATTGCATGATGATTTACATGCAAAGATGCAGTGAACCACATTGATTGAGTGGTAGGTGAGATTTTCAAGGCTTGTGGCATGCGAAAAACATTTTCCTTGTAGAGAGCAGCACTGAACAAGAATAGCTATTATGTGAGAGAAGGTAAGTATCGGAAATATATTTTCAATGTAGGAAAATGATAATTGAATTTTTTCGTGAACTGTAGTTTTTTGTTAACAAGCTCTATAGTTATTTTCCTTTCATTAAGACTGCTGTTTAAAATTTAGTCTTTCACCAAAACAATCTTTTACTACTAGCTGGTACCTGCTACAACAAGAAACTGTCAGTTTTAGTAGTGTAACTTACTTAAAACCATTTTTATTTAGTAACTGCATCATCATTAAAAGCTAAGTATTTTAGTCTGCATGTTAAAGTGTAGAATTTGCAATGCTAAAACCCCAGTTTCATCACCAAGCACAAGTTAATACTTTGTGAAATTATCTTACCCAGGATACCATCTGACAGCATTTTTTGCTTATTTTATCTCTAATTAATAAATGCTAAGCTGTTTACAAACATTGACTTTAAAGGTACTAAGGTACTGCATTTAATTTTTTTTTCTATTTTTAAACCAGTTTTGTGTGAATCAGTAGTTAGCTAACCACATTTAAAGAAAATTTCTCTTGTGGGATTGCTTATTGCAAAAATTGGCTAAAAAAAAGCTCTTAAACACCATGAAAGAAAAGCTATAAACAAAGAAATCTAAAATAAGGCATAACATTTATAAATATGGGGAAAATTATACAAATAGTAATTTTTTATTAAAAATCTTGATTTGCAGTTTATCCAAAACTATATAAAAGTTTCTGAGAATGCTCATATGTTTGATAATGTACTGAAAAATACAGCTATATATTATATAAACATTGGTTTAGTGACTGTGATCTTTGTTAATTTGTTTTTTCTATCATCATTTATGTCTGAAAAATGTGATTGGTTATATGTTTGTTTTCCTTACTTCCCTTTGTATATTGGCAGAAGTTGTGTAGTTTAAGATGCTTTAACAAAAGATTTCTAGCATGTGTTGTAAGAAATTGCACATAGTTATAATTTAATATTTTAGTTTATATATGAAAAAAGTGTTTAATATACTATTCAGAAGTTTGATCATACAGTTCAAAGAAATTTAACCAGTGTCACATTTTGTAGTTTGTGATAGAATTTGCTGTGTTTGCAACCCAAATAAGTTTTGTATTGTATTATTACAGAATGCAATAAACTAATTAAATGTTTAGTTTAGAACAAAAGCAAATACTTAGCACAACATCACTGCACATTTCTAATGTTGCAACCAATTCTTCTATAACTGAATCACCCATTATCTTTCATGTATTGACCAATTTTTTGTAAGAGGTGTGGTAATGACAGTGAAGAGCTATTTGTTTTTATTACAAGCACAAAAAAGATTCATAACTTTTGAGAAGAATGTTGTTTAGAATTTTTACTCTACTTACTTACATTGTACATTTCAAGCAATGTGTGCACCAAAGATATATGAACATAAAAGTTATTGAAGTAATTTTAACTGTGACTTACTTTTAGTTTTGCAGACTCTTCAGTGCTTGTTACTGTTTCTTTTTAGTTTTAATGCATTATGTATGAAAAATGAAAAACAAGTATTTTGATATTTTAAGCAGTTTATTATAGTTAATAATTTTCCAAGTAGTAGAATTTGAATATAACATAAAACTTAAAAATTATGGTGCACAGGTACATCATAAATTGCTACATAAATTTCATAAACTATATATGATTTGAATTAGATGTACCAATACGTGCTACATAATAATTCCATTAGAATAGTTTTGCCAATACAACTTTTACAATTCACTCATAAGCCCAATTATATTATAAGTACTTTTATAAACTGTAATCCATTAATTTTTTTAAAAATCGTTTTACATAAAAGTGTTAATGAAAAGTAACAGTCATGTATATTTGTTGTTGCAGATGTTTTGAGCTTGCAGATCTTAGTAGGATCATTATAGCTGTGACATTTTCATTTAACTATCATCCACTAATCAATTTTATCCATTCGTGTGTCTCAGCTAGTATGAAATAAGGTTCATAGTCAATAGTTAATAATACTTCCTATAGTCAGTAGTATCTCATGTGATAAATTTTTCATGTTTTGGAAATCTGAATACACAGTTGTTTATTTTTACAATTCTGTTTCACTGCTTCTTGATGTTACAGATCAGAAAGGTTTTCATAGCTTTAGGAGACTACATGAATGCTCAGTGTCATGCCTGCATTGGAGGAACAAATGTTCGTGAAGATTTTCGAAAACTTGAGATGGGTGTTCATGTGGTTGTTGGAACTCCTGGAAGGGTTTATGACATGATTAATAGAAATGCTTTAAGTAGGTATTATCTTTTATTATGTTATCAAGTCAGCTATCTCTTTGCACATGTTTTGTTATTTCGGGGAGATTGTATTACAGTGTCACATAAACGGTAATGACACAAGCAGTGATTTGTTGCTTTATTTTCAGCACATTTCTACTTCAGTCATAGACAGTGAAATGCACACAGAAAATAAACGTGAAATGCTTAGCAGTTAAAAATCTCAAGAGAAGTACTTTGACATGTTGTGAACAATAATCAAGAAAAAGGGGCATAGCTCATTATTGTATTTATGATCTTACAACTTTTCAATATACTTTGATGATTTGTTTACTTGCTGAAGAATAAATTATACTGTTATGGTAAAGGTAATAGTAGATAAAATATAAGGTTTTACTATAAAAAAATTTATTTTTGCTTAGGAGGTTTTAGTGATTACGAAAATGAAGTTTGATATTTTTGAGACAAAAAAATATTTTTAATCTTTACATAAACATCACTTTGCTCTCTATTGCAAGAATACCAAAAATCTGCAGTGTACTGAAAGTGAATTAAAACTAAATAACCTTATGCCCTTTTATAGCTCTTTAAATCACCATCTTTTTAAATATTTCAACTGAATTTTGGATCCCTACATATATACAAGATAAGCACCCAATTAAAAAACACCTAAATAGTTTACATAGTAAGATCACTGCCTAGCTTTGATGTCTTAACCCTATCCCCACAGGTATCCGTTGCTGCACGTGACACAGGGTTTTAGTGTCTTACAATGAAAATGTTATTAAACTACATTTTGTTTATGTTATACAAATTAGTATAGCATAAAATCTTAACCAATAATCCTTGTTTTAGTAATATATAAGTTTAAGTTCTTAATTCTATAAGGAAATATTTTTAAAAAATCCTGAACTTCCCTCTAGGTATCTTCTCTATTTTATCCACCACCCCTACAATAAGTACAAAATTAAATGTAAATTACTCACTGTAAAATTGTCATTGCCCAGACAAACTATAATTTTTCATTTCCTTCAAATTTGTTTGGTTGCAGAGCTATCAACTAGAAAATCAGACCCTTCCTGCCACACCCACCTGTCACATCGTCTCTTTCAGGATTTGTTAATAGTTATCTCTTACATTTAATTATGTATTACCTATAACCAATAGAAAGCCAAGGTTTTCATCCATCAAATGATGTATTGTATAGTCTTGTGTTCTGAACAGATAATCATCAGTTTCACTCAGATTACAAGCTCTGTTCCCATTGGAAAGCTAACGACTAGCTTGGATGAATTTATAACGGCTCTTGTTGCATAGTCAGAAAGCCAGAAAATTTTTGAGAGTTAAGGGAAATTTTCTATTTTTTGCATGTTATTATTTTATGTTCTTTGGTGCATTAATTAATTAAATAAAAATTATTTGATGCACTACTACCATTAGTATAAAAAAAGTAGGGTTACGTGTCATCGATAGTTGACATAAAAAAAAAAATAACTCGAGTAAATAATTTATTTCTTGTTTTTTATGTTTATTCTATATTAAGTCACTAAAATGTAAAAATTGGGATCTCTTTATGTTATTTAAGGTTAGATTAGGTAAAATAATATTATAATAGAAATATTTGTGAGGTATGCATGCAAATAGCTCGTGGGTAATGTAATTTGATAGCGTAACATGAGCTGCACATTCCCATGTGATTTACAACTTATAATGGTGCAAATAATAGTTAGACATGATTCAAAGGGCAATAAAACAATAAAATTTAATTATAAATAGATGTATACTGGTACGGGTTTAAAGCCACTTAATATAAACGAATGTAGTTTCATGATACATTTGAAGTCATTCTAGAAAGAAAAAGATGGTAATTTATATTTATTTAGATTTTTTTTATGATTATGAGGTCAGTCAAATTGGCCAACCTTATATAGAGTTAGAGTAGAGAAAATAACAGATAAACTATAAAGTTTTACTAAAAACAAACATTTGAAGTGTATTTAGGAGGTTTTTAGAGATTACACAAATGAAACTTGAGATTTTTTGAGATAATGAAAAGTATTTTTAATCTTAACATGAAAATCATTTTGTACACAGACTATTTAAACCAAATATTCGATATATTCAAGGACAAAAAACCTTTTTTAGTTTATTAAAAATACTTCACTAAATATATGATTTTTTTTATGTGAAAGACTTGTAATGTTTTTTGAAAGACTCCAAAATTTTGGGAAGATATCCACATTATATTAAAAGTTAGTAGTATCAAATCTATAAAGACTTTGAACGAGTACATTGAGGTCATGTGGTTGGTCAAATTGTCTGAGCCCGTGTTGAGAGAGTTAAACCTATTCCCTCGACCCCTCGTTGTGAGGCAGTACAACTTGCTGCAGAAATTATTTCAAAAACCCCAAGAAGAGGAACACCTAATTGAACTATAACAACTAACCACATTTATTTACTTTCAATAGAAAGATTCATACTTTCTTCTGTTACATGGATTTGCCATAGGAAATTCATTATCGGGTACTTTGGCCACTTTTTTCTTACATCGCATTGAACAACATGGCATATTCACTTCCTTATATAAGCCTTCATTTTGGCTTAGATATGTAGTTGATGTTTTTTGAAGAAATACAGTTCCTTCAATGCATAAACAACCTACACAAAAAAATACAATTCACAGTTGAAAATAAAAATAACTGCACAATATATTTTTTAAATGTAATATCTCACAACCCCCAAGACTTCACCAGTAACATTCATAGAAACAACACACACAGTGAAAATTATGAAAACTGGTTTTCTAATCATGTAACCCACCAGAAACTAGGCACTCTAAAAACCACCTAAACTTAGTGTACCTTATAGGCACCACAAAAAACATCGATGAAGAAGTTGCATACTTAAGTCGGTGCTTTACAAACATAAACCAATTCCCTATTACAGTAGTTACACAAATTATTAATGAATTAAAAAACATTAGACATTTATGAAACAAACTCAAAAATCCTCCACAAAACAAAGGAAATATAATCACTTGCACTATCTCATATATAAATAATATTAGCACACCTATATCAGAAACTTGGAAAAGACTAGCACATAAATATAACATTAAATAATGACAAGATTAATTTTCATCCCTAGAATGAAAATTAACACACACACACAAATTATTTAATGAACCCACCCCACCAGGAAACATATACAAAACACAGAGTAATGGAATTGCCCAGCCATATATATAATTGGAGTATGATGTAACTTTAACATCAGATTAAAAGAACACCAAAAACAACCACAGTTTTTCTAAGCAATGTCTCCATACCAAAACATGAACCTGACATTAACAGAAGAAAAATCTGAGAACCCTTATTAATAAAACCAAACAATCCGATTAAGAAATACCAAGACATTCCTGATCTTATGCAAATCTTTTGCACATCACCTTTCCACATATTCATATGTATTCACATTTTGTTTGTTTTTTCTGTTCAGCTATAAGTAAATAATCTGTCAATTCACATGAACTGATATGCACAAGCATAAGTAACCATTGTTGATTCTCTAATTTTAATACATTGTTATATTGTTGAATTTTGATTTAAATACAAAAACCTTTTTCATAGTTGAAACCTGTGTACTTGAGAATGATTGAACGAGTAATCAAATGTCATACCTGTTTTAAAAGGTATTCTTCCTTAATGTAAAAGCTATAACTTGTAATTTAAAAAAATTCTTTTAATCAGTAAGTAAACTCAAAATGAAACAAAACTAGAAGACTTTTGTTTAGGCTTAATAAATTTTATAAACTCTAGATAATTTGAGAAAATGTTCAGGGGATTAAAATAATTATGAATAAGATTGATATAAAATATGGAAAAGTAAGAGCTTATTCTAATAGACTGTTTAATAATTTTGCTTATTCTAACAGTGTTACAATAAATTTTCTTCTAGAAACCAACCATATACGCATGTTTGTCTTAGATGAAGCTGATGAAATGTTATCTAGGGGATTCAAAGATCAGATTTATGATGTGTTTAAATTCTTAGGTAATGATATTCAGGTGAGTTAAATTCTCTCTCGGTTTTATGGAAGTGTATTTATTTTTCTAATTAATCTCAAAAATTTCCTTTGGAAACAGCATTATTTAACTTCAAAAATTAGTGGATTCTCTGAAGTGTGGGTGTTTTTGTTCTTTGAAACAATTACTCTAATTATAGCATAAAAATGCATTTCATTAGTTATTTACACATATGTAATATTAAGTTATATTTGTGGTAATGTATGAATTGTCTATATACAGGTAGGTATAGATGCACATGTCAAGACTTTTTTAGAGTCACATTCAAAATTAATTAAATTACTTTATTAATATTAATGTATGACAATAACTTGACATCAAAGGATACTTAAATATGAAATTTTAATATTATATAATTTAATTTCAGAAAGCTATTTTTAAATAAATTTTTAATCTTCACTATTCAGTATCATCACTATCATGTGATACTTGTCCACTTGGAACATCACATTTTAGATAAATTTCAGCTTCTTGGTTTTAATGCAAGTTACAAAATTATGTATGTTTTAAAGATATAATGTGATTTTATAGCCCTCAGTCATCTTGTTTTACTTGGAAATAAAGCAGAAAGTCCATTCATCATGCCACATCCTTCTATTGCATACTGCCTTTCAAAAAATGTCAGTAATTCTTTCTGATGTTTGCTATTACATTGTTTACATATAGCTAATAGGAAGAGAATATGTTAATTTACTAATTTATGTATAATGCTATCTTGCTGTCACAGTAACTTTTGAATTATTAAAGATTTGAAGTTGCTATTGCTGATTTCAACTCAACCAGCTAAGGAAATTATTTTAATGCAGTTATAGCCTAGTTTAAAAGCCATTAAAATTACATGATAGTTTTAGGACATTATATGCTTTGTGCATGTTAGAATTTTTTTATTTAAGATGAATATTTGAAATAAGTAAAAATTCAGTAAAATACCAAAAATAACTCTAGCAAAAATTAGGGTTATTTTTTATCAATGCTTCAATTGCAAAAAAAAGTTGAATACCCAAAAGTAAGTACTAAATTTCTTGTTTTTTTTCTAATGTGTATACTTTACTTTTTGTTTTGAAATTAACTAAAATATAAAAATTAGAAACATATTAAGATTTGAAAACATAAATGAAGAAAAAATTAGATAAAACTTCTCAATAAGGTATGCATGCGAGGTGCATGTGCTTTACATGATTCAGTATCTTGTTTTATCATAACTTTTTGCTCTGTGTGTTTATGACTGTTATACATTTCAAAGAGAAACAAAATTAAAAAAAGCAGTTTAGGATAAGTAACTAATTTTCTGTTACAATATGCAGTCATTGTAGATAGAAAAAATAATAATTTAGATTTATTTTATGCGGTAGTTCAGATAAAATATGTATAGTTTTACAAAAAAAATTTTTTGAAATTTTTAAGAGGTTCTAGAGGTCATGCAAGTGACCTCTGTAAGATGAAGAAAAATATTTGTATTCTTAAAATGAAAATCACCTTGCACTTTCACTAGTCAGAGTTACTTTGTAAATTCACAGACAAATTTTTAGTAAAAATACTTTAGTAAAAAATCTGATTTTTTCGTCCAACAGACTTGTAATATTTACTAAAAGCTTGTCAAATTTCATGAACTTAGTAAATTAAGAATTATATCATGTATAGTTTTATGATTACATGGTCAAAATGGCGTAGACTGCATAAATAGGGTTGTTTTCAAAAAGAAAGTTCTAAAAAAAAGCCTCAAAGTTAATTTTTCTATGTCACATCATGCATCTGAACTAGGATTTTTTCACTTCAGATCTATTCTCAAATAGACTACTTCAGTTTCCAACCAAATAGAATCACAAACTATACATAATTACAAGCAAGAATCTAAAAGTTTAATCTCATACATCATTTATATGTTGAGATAATAAAGTTGTGAAGCCCACCAGAGAATTCCCCTTTATCTCTCTCTCTCTCTGATTTTGAGATTCTTCTCTACATAAATTATACAATTCTATGTTCATTTTTCTTGCCTTTATCTTTTAATTGACAGAAATTTTTTTTATTTGTATTGATAAGTATTGTTCTGAACAGTAATTTTTTTTAAATCCATTTATAGCTTACTTTGAAAGCTAAATAAATTATGGTGGTTTTTGGAACATTTTCTTTTAGTGCCTATTATATTTTTTGTGTGTTAAAATGCATTTTTGAAAGATACGAGAATTTTTTTTGTCCAGATTTGTGCCACTTAATAAGATTTGGGGGAGAACATTAAATTTTTACCCTAATGCATACAGCTTAATTAAGCAGCAAGTAATAAAAATCCTCATTTTTTATTATATAGTTTTTATTTATTGTTATATATTCTTTAACAGAAGTAACTAAAGTGTAAAAAGTAAAATAAAATGGCTAAAAATTGCACTAACCAGTGCAAAGTATGACAACAGGTCATATTAAATTAGCTTTGTGAGAAATAGCTGACTAGCTTTCACAGCAATAAAACCATAAAATTAAAAGGAAACAGATGTGAAAAGTTGAACAGTTGAAACTGTTGAGATAAGTAATTTGGAACTTTTTGATCAGTATTGTAGTCAAAAAGAAAATATCATTCATTGTATTTCATTGGTTCATTTCTTTGCACTTAGTATGTACCTTTTTATCACTACAGTGTATAAGTAAAACTAGTTTCAATGTAAACTGCATAAAAATCATTTAATAAGAATGAGTACTGTTTGTGTTATATAATATTCAACATAGCAATCTAAATTTGATAAATTAAGTGTATAGTTATATTTAGAATATTGCTATTGTTAAATATTAGCTTAAAACTGAATGTAAGGAAATTGATATTGTGATGTATTAACCCTTTCACAACAGGTTTAGTATAAAATACACAAGTTCGTATACACATTTGCATATGTTATGTATTTATGTTATAACTTTTAATGCAGTGTGTATATCTTCACAAAATTTGGTAGACTTTTAGTAATGATTACAAGTCTTTTGTACACAAAAAATCAGATTTTTTAATGAAGTATTTTTACTAAAGATTTGATTATGAAAATATCAAGTCTTTTTTTTTTTACTTGTGCTAGGTGATTTTCATGTTATGATTAAAAACTATTCTTTGTCTCTAAAATCTCAAATATTATTGTGTAATCTCTAAAACCTCCTAAAAACATTTTAGATGCTAGTTTTCAGTAAAACTCTATATTTGGTCTGTTATTTTCTCTACCCTAACTATATGGGGTCTGTCAATTTTACTTACCTCGTAATCACCATAAAAAATTAGGAAATAAATATAAATTATGCTTTTTTTGTTCTAGAATGGTTGCAGATTATAACACGAAAACACAAATGTTTAATTTAAATAGCTTAAATCTTATAACATTATACATTTATATATATTTATTATTTTTTATTATATTGACCTTCCAGTCATTCCTGGCTCAAAATACAGAAGTTACCGTATCTAAGAATATAAAACTGGCCTATAATCCTTTCGATACAGGTCATATTTGAAAGGCCATGTTATCTCGTTTATTGACTCGCATTAGAAATTTTATTGAACTACTATTTCATGAATTTCTGTCAATAAGTTTGGTATCAAACTGTAGATTATAATTCAAATTTTAGAACTATACATTACTCAATTTCTTAATTTAAAAGTAAATATTAAAAAAAACAGTTAAACACCAATTTTTGTGGTATGTTGAGCACAGCACTGGTTCAAATTAGATTTTGTGAAATCAAAATACTAAGTCTATAGTGTTTTACGAATTAGAAACTCAAGTTACAAATACTGACAAGCTAGAATATAAAATAAAAAAAATCTCATCTTTTCTATTTGCTAAGATATTGCTCATGTAATAAATCAAACACAGTGGCACCACGCCCTCCTATTTCCATTTTTGGAAATGTTCCCATATATACACTTACTTCTATGTATTACATGAATAAGCAATCGGAAGCTCAGAATGTCCCCCTAGTGGTTTTCTCAGCCTTTCTAACATGGCTAGCACCATTTCTATCTTTTGAACCAAGATTGCAATGAGATAGGTTGTGTCTTTAGTCTCCTCAAAATTTTTTAAGAGTAAAATACATCTTAGTTACTAAGCTTGAGAAATTATAATTGAATTCTATGGTATTGATGTAGTAATTTATGATTTTTTAGTTATTCAAATGTATATATATATAAAACCTAAAAAAAATGTTTTATATCCTCCATGTGCAAAATTTTTAAAGGCTTAGCAACCTACGTCAAGCAGAAACCAAGTACAAAGGTCGTAACTAGAAGAGATAATTGTTTGCTTTACTACTTCATTTACTGTTCTATGTTTTAAGAAAAATAAGTTTAAGAAGGTATTTCAAAATAGCAATATTCTATATACATGTATAATGTATAATAATTGAAATGTGACTGTATTATACAAAATACTATATATATATATATATATATGTATATACATTTGAAATAATCAAAACTCATAAATTACTATATCAGTAACATAGAATTCCAAAAAAAGATAGCAAATTTATTAACTAAGTTGTATTTGGGCCTAAAAAAATATAAATTTTTTAGCTCACTAAAGTGTCAACTTACTCTCTTCAAATCCAGAGTGAAAAAAAAAGGATTTCCCACACAAATAATTTGCAAAGACTCAGAGAACCATGTGGGGAACATTTTGAACTTTCGGTTGGTTATTCACATGTCATATACAGAAGTAAATGTATATAAGGGATTGCTTCCAAAAATGGAAAGAGGTGAGTGGGACCATTGTGTTTGATTCAGTATATGAGCAATATCTCAGCAAATAGAAAAGATGGGAGGTTCTTATTTTATATTCTAGCTTCTTAATATTGGTGATTTGTTTCTAATTCGTACGAAACTATAGACTTTGTATTTTGACATCACTGACATTTAATTTGAACCAGTGCTGCATTTAACATACCACGTAACACACAAAAATCAATGTTTAGGTGTGTGTGTTTTTTTATATTTACTTTTAAATTAAGAAATTAAATAGTGTATAGTACTAAAATATGAATTATTATCTACAGTTTGATACCAAACTTATTGACATAAATTTATAAAATAGTACTTCCACAAAATTTTGAATGTAATTCAACAAACATGATGACATGGCCTTTGATCCGTGGTGATAGGGTTAAAGCTATGTATATATTTCCTTCTAATATATTCTAATATTTTAGCAGTACTCTGATAGAGTTAAACATTATAAACACACAAACCAGCAATATTCATTTTGAATTAGTTTTTATTCAAACCAGTGAAAACATCAAGCATAAAGTAATGAACTTTAGTAGTCACTGTTTGTAATTTTATTATAACTAAACTGTATTACATCATATGATGTTTGGATATTGACCACCAGCTATAGCTTTCAGAAAAGGAAAACTGCAACACCACAAGCACTAGGAATTACTGATAAGACAACTTTTCTGATCTCATTTAAATTTTATTCTTATTTTTTTTATTGAAATTTAATGCAGTATGGAATTTGTACTTTTGTTATTAATAACTGGTCAAAAGTGAGATAAGTGTTTAAGTGACCTATAAATTTAACTTAACAATCCAAGTCAACATCAGAGCTTAACAAAGAAAATGATAGCAGACTGTTCAATTCTGCTTAGTTCAAGGCTTTTAGATCCAATAGCTGTCAGTTATGTTAAATCTTTGCTTTCTGTTGGTGTGTGTGTTTTTTTATATTTACTTTTAAATTAAGAAATTAAATAATGTATAGTACTAAAATATGAATTATTATCTACAGTTTGATACCAAACTTATTGACATAAATTTATTAAATAGTACTTCCACAAAATTTTGAATGTAATTCAACAAACATGATGACATGGCCTTTGATCCGTGGTGATAGGGTTAAAGCTATGTATATATTTCCTTCTAATATATTCTAATATTTTAGCAGTACTCTGATAGAGTTAAACATTATAAACACACAAACCAGCAATATTCATTTTGAATTAGTTTTTATTCAAACCAGTGAAATCATCAAGCATAAAGTAATGAACTTTAGTAGTCACTGTTTGTAATTTTATTATAACTAAACTGTATTACATCATATGATGTTTGGATATTGACCACCAGCTATAGCTTTCAGAAAAGGAAAACTGCAACACCACAAGCACTAGGAATTACTGATAAGACAACTTTTCTGATCTCATTTAAATTTTATTCTTATTTTTTTTATTGAAATTTAATGCAGTATGGAATTTGTACTTTTGTTATTAATAACTGGTCAAAAGTGAGATAAGTGTTCAATTCTGCTTAGTTCAAGGCTTTTAGATCCAATAGCTGTCAGTTATGTGAAATCTTTGCTTTCTGTTGGTTACAAATAATTCGGTAGCAAATGTTAGAGAAAGAATTCATGATGATTTTTGAAAGCAAGATGCTGAATGTGTGTTTTGGGGCATGTGGCATTTGCTTTATTGTTGATATCTCCACAAAGCAAAAAGCTTTCCAACTACAAATTGATAGTTTAGCTGAGGGGATGTATATAGTATCATTGGGATATTTCACAAAAATCACAAGGCTGTATTGGAGTAGTGGAAAATATTGAAATGGGAAGTTTGGAGTGAAGAAGTATCATGTGATACAGGAAATGAAAATTGAGAATTTATTTGAATATTTTCTTTTAAAAGTAAGAACTTAAAACTTATGTGATATTAAAATTTGAACTATAAACTACATTTTAATGGCAATTTTACTGATATGCAATTGAAAATAAAGTAGTTTGATTAAATTTTGAATGTAACTGTGAAGTGGTTGTGATCTGTGCTGAGAGGGTTAAAAGATGCACTGATTTTTTCTAGGAATTTTTTACAAAAAACTTGTATGTTACTCAAGTTGCTGTACATATAGATGCCAAACATTCATCATGATTGTAAGAGCTGGGTGATTTGTCAGTGCAATCAATTAGCTATGAGCATTGATTATATTAATGGATGTCATGAAAATAATTGAAATATTGCCATTGTAATTTCTTCTTATTAGTTTGATTAATTTGAGATTGGTCATAACTCACAAAATAATCAACAAATTGAAATTAATGTTTCCAGTTATTACTATTTTTGATTATTCCAGACATCCAAGTCTCATTTGAAAATAATCAGTTAGTTGAATATAATTGATTAATGTGCCCAATAATTAATCAAGTGATCGGTTCCACTAATTGCCCAGTTTTAATGATTGATTTGACTTTTTTAAAGGGTGTGTGACAGTTAGGGCCTAAAATGAGATTCAAATGTTATTTCTGCTGCTGTAAGCAATCATAATCTTGAAATCATGTGATCTGTCATAATCAATAGCTAAAATTCATGTCAGTGCTGCAAAGTTATGATTTAACACAAATATAAGGAAAACAACTTGAGTTGGAATGGTTGTCTTTGGAGTACTGAATTGATATTTAAATAAATTTTGTATATATTCCATTATTCTTATAGATCATCGACATTTTGAAAGTGCGAATAATTCTTTTATGTTTGTAAAATATTTTAAGTTTATATAGTCATGAAATTTGTATGAAAAGTTAGACCATGGAATTAAAAATACTCTACAACAAATAAAAGGTTCGTAATATTAAAAATATATACAAGCATATCATGAAAATTGCTGAAATGATAACATAAGGAAATCTACATCATTTGGAAGTATATTAATAAATATCATAAGTTTAATTATATATTGTGTTAGAAAGAAGGAAAAAACACTAGTGATTAGTGATTTATGTGGTTTTAAGGTAAATCAGAAGTAAACCACCATGTTTGTACATGTAGGTGATTCTACTTTCTGCCACAATGCCTGCTGATGTCCTTGAGGTCACAAAACGTTTCATGAGAGAGCCAATCAGAATCCTGGTAAAAAAGGAAGAACTTACTTTGGAAGGTATTAAACAGTTTTATGTAGCAGTGGAAAGAGAGGTGAGTTTTTTTTTGTCAATTTGCCATTATTATTATGTTTTGGGGTTTCTTATTCTTGTACATTATGTTAAAACAATTTTTTTAACATGCAAATTAGCTAGTCATGTGACAACTACAGTTAATATAAAGTCATGGTGGAACAGCATTTACCATTACTACATGTGATGTTGTTTCATAGGTAGTTTGATGCCACAGAAAATTCATTGCTTTAAAAAAAGGTGTGTAACAGTTCTTTTCTATTTGTCGAGATGTCAGTATATTTAGTGAACCCACCACAATGGCTTTGCCCACCTATTTCTCATTTGTAAATACTTGTTTACCTATGCCTACTTTCTTTACATACATGTTTATAACCACTCAAGAGCTCTCATTTTGAACTACATAATCCTGTCAGTCTTCCTAAAGTATTTATGTGGGTAAAGCTGTTATAATTATTTCAGTGTTTGAAGAGTGGTGTTCAAGACGAGATGATGATCGGAAATGAGATTTCTTAGACCCAAATACAGCTTAGTTAGGAAGCCTGATAAATTACAGTGTAGTTTTGTTGTACTGGTGTAGTAATTTACAATTTTTTATTATTTCAAAATGCATATGTAAAACCTACAAAAATTATTTTTTCATGTGAAATTCAATGAGGCTTAGCAAGTACGATGCACGAGTACAAGAAAACATTGTAACATCATAAGTACTAGCGATCACTGTTTTTTATTTCCTTTTTTATGTTCTACGAAAAATAACTGAAATTTAAGAATTGATTTTTGTGAATTGTAATAATACATATATATATATGTAATGTATAGTAAACAAGATGTGATTGTATTTGACAAAATACTGGTTTGCTAGTATTAAGACTAAGAGTAAGACACTTGTACTTTGTAAAGTTTTATCCTATTCAATGTGGTGAGGTGAGTTGCACGTGCACTGCATTATTTACAACTTGTGTGGTGGGATTACTTATGTGACACTGTTCAAATATCAGTAAAACAGTCATTCTAGAATGAAAAAAAGGAGTAATTTAGTTTAATTTTTTACTTTTTTATGATTGTTACAAGTCAGTCAAATAAACCAACTCCGTATAGTTATGGTGGAAAAAATAACAGATAAGATATAAAATTTTTCCAAAAAAAATATGTGTGATAGTTAGTTAGTAGATTATATAGATTACACAAATGAAATTTGACAATTTTAAGAAGAAGAAAAGTATTTTTAATCTTAATATCAAAATTACTTTGCAAGTTGGATAGTCAACATTCTGAAAGGAAAAATTCACGAGCAAATCTTAAGTTAAAAAATCTTAATGCTTAATTTAAAAAAAAAACTGATATTTTGTGTATGAAAGCTTTGTAATGTTTACCGATAATCTGTGAAATTTCATGAAGCTACATTATATAAATTATAGTATGACTAATCTCCTGGTTACTTTGGTGGTTATATACTGAGTGCAGTGCACCTACCTGTAGTCAAAGAGTTAAGTAAATATGCTTACTGTGAAATGTAAAGAAGGTCACAGTAGCAGTAATTTGAATTGCTTTAAGTAATATGTGAAAAAGAGAATCACACTGACTTGTTCCATGTGACAGCGGTATGAATTATTCCTGTACTTTCATATATTAGAGGGTGCTTCATGCTAGAGAAGATGTTAAAAAGCTAAGCTCTTGGAGATTTTCAATATTATTTAATATTAACACTATCATTTAGTAATTTGGGTTAAATAACAAAATAATAACTAGGTTTAAGAAAATTGGTTAATAAAACTAGTACAGTTAAATCTTTAAATAGAGCTTAGTGGTGTAACCTGTTCTACAATGTTAGATTAGGCTTAGCTATAATTCAACTTATTGGTAAATCATAACACACATTAACTCTTTCAGCACGGGCTCAGTCCCTGGGACCGATCTAATAACCATTTTGTGTTTGTTATAGTTTTCATGCTATAACTTTTAAATAATAAATGAATGTTAATGAAATTTGGCACATTATCAGTAAACATTACAATGCTTTGCTACACAAAATATAAACTTTTTTTATCTACTCTTAAGGTTTGTAAAGCAATGTTTTTCTCATGCCTTTTTTTTTTTTTCATTTTGCATGTTGCCTATCTAACATGCAAAGTAATTTTCATTTTAAGATAAAAAATACTTTTGTGCATCAGAAAATTTTTAGATTTCACATGTGAAATCTTTATAATGTCCAGATAATTATCAAACGTTTCTTAAGAAATACTTTATATTTTATGTTATTTTCAGTAATGGATCTTGTAACTACCATAAAAAATTAGGAAATAAATATAACTTATGTTTCTTTCATTCTAGAATGAACACAAATTATAACACGAAAACATAAATGTTTAGACTAAATAGCATAAATCTCATAACATTATACATTTATTATATTTACATTTCACCCATGCCTGGCTAACAATACATATATTACAATAAAATGGCACATGTACACTCATGTTACCATATCCAATAACATAAAACTGTCCTTTGGTCTGTACAAAGTAACTTGTCTTGGCTGTGTTT